CAGCGGCAGCACCCCAAGGGGACCCGGGGCCACGGCTGTCTGCCAGCCCCTCCTCGGCAGGCAGTTGGGGGTGAGCTGAGGGACGCCTGCTGTGGGCCGCATCCCCGGCTACAGCGAGCATTCTGACGAGCTGAGCTGGAAGGGCTCAGCCCACGCTGGCTGTTTCTGCTTCTCACAGACCCCACTTTTTTCAGGGGAGCCTCTGCCTCCCGGTAGCAATCCAGGTCACACCCCAAGCCAGGCGCTCTTGTCCCTCTGACCCCTTTGGCCACACGCCTTGGGCCTGGCCTGGGAGGAGTGGCTGTGGGGCGTTTCTGGGGACACCTGGGACTTGGTTCCCTCCCCTGATTGGCCACTCGCCGCGGCAGGTCCAGCTGGTCGAGGACTTCCGCGCCCTGCGCCAGGCGGCCGAGGACATGAAGCTGTTCGAGGCCCAGCCGGCCTTCTTCACGCTCCTGCTGGTCCACATCCTGGCCATGGAGCTGCTCGCCTGGCTCATCGTCTACCTCCTGGGTCCCGGCTGGCTGCCCAGCACCCTCACCGCCCTCATCCTGACCGTCTCCCAGGTGACCCAGCTGTCTCGCAGCCCCTAACCTGTCCAACAGACACACGGGGACATTCTAGACCCAGGGGTGGGCAAACTTTTTGACTCGAGGGCCACAATGGGTTCTTAAACTGGACCGGAGGGCCGGAACAAAAGCACGGATGGAGTGTTTGTGTGAACTAATATAAATTCAAAGTAAACATCATTACATAAAAGGGTACGGTCTTTTTTTTTTTTAGTTTTATTCATTTCAAACGGGCCGGATCCGGCCTGAGGGCCGTAGTTTGCCCACGGCTGCCCTAACCTGTCCAACAGACACACGTGGACATTCTAGACTCATTTGCTGAGTGAATGAATGAATGAATGAACGGACGAGTGAATGAATGAACGGAGGAGTGAATGAACGACCAAACAGAGACCCCATAAGGTGTGTATCTGAGGGCCAAGCTGTGTTTTATTTAATTAACTAATTAATGAATTATTTTAAGCCTCAGCTGAGGATCTTTTCCCCTGGATTTCTAGAGAGAGTGGAAGGGAGGGAGGGAGGGAGGGAAGGGGGGAAGAGGGAGGAGAGAGAGGAGTATCTACCTGAGAGGGACACATCGATTGGTTGCCTCCCGCACGCTCCCCACTGGGGCTGGGGAACCTGCAACCGAGGTCCGAGGTCCGTGACCTTGACCGGGGAATCAAACCGGTGACCCTTGGGCCGGCACTCTAACCAGTGAGCCACCGGCCAGGCCTCAAGCTGCATTTGAAACGAGCTGAGGAAGCTCCTTCCTTCACCCTGAGTGCGCACAGGGCAGGGAGCCAGAAGGCTCTACCCCAGCCCCGTGACGTGCAGGCCCCGAGACCGCCCGGAACTCAGTGTTCTATAAAAAGAGGAAGCTGGTAGACCAGGTCCTGAAAGGACTGTTAGCTGTGGGTGTGCCCCCTGAGCTGGGGTGTGCCGTGCCAGCACAACCAAGGGTGATCCCGAGTGGCGGGGTGAAAGTATTGAGAAAAGACAGACAAGAGAATGAAGGCTGGGTCTCGGTGGGACGCTGCTCCCTGATGAGGAGACAGCGCCAGCGCCCACAAGCCGTGTCTTTATTTTATAGCAGATGCCACGAGGCAAAGTAGGGGCGTGATCACGTTGTTTACAGCATTCTCGTGAGTTTCAACCTCACTTAACTACATGCACCCGAACTCTAGCACAAGGCACGTGGGGCCACGTGTTCGGACCGTAGGTTCAAGCTTACAACCACAGCCGTTGGCTATGATTGTGCTGGGAGGGCCCTGCCCTCCAGCTGGGACTTGCACGTGGCAATGAGAGGACCCTGTCCTTTCATTAGTCCGAGGCTTGAACTTGGCCAAAACACCGTAACCACGCCCCACACTGGGGGGCTCACTGGGGCTCCAGGGCTGGGCCCCCAGGCAGCCAGCACCCTCCCCCGGGCCGGAGTCAGGGGCCGGGTCCCCTGAGCCTGCCTCTCTCCCCAGGCCCAGAGCTGGTATTTGCAGCACGACCTGGGCCACACGTCCGTTTTCCGGAAGCCCCGGTGGAACCACGTGGCCCAGCAGTTTGTGATGGGACAGCTGAAGGTGAGGGTGGGGCATGTGGTGGGCAAGCAGGGGCTGAGCTGGGTGCCAAGCGCGCGGGCACGCGTGGTGGACATGGCCTGGCCCCCCCTGAGCCCCCTCTCCCCTGCAGGGCTTCTCCGCCCATTGGTGGAACTTCCGCCACTTCCAGCACCACGCCAAGCCCAACGTCTCCTACAAAGACCCGGACGTGACCTTGGCGCCCATCTTCCTCTTGGGGGAGTCGTCTGCTGAGGTTCGTGGGGAGGACGTGGACACACACTGGCTGGGCCTGCTGCTGAGGGGGACCGGCCCCTGACCAAGCCCCCCACTCTAGTTCCAGGCTGAGCCCCTACCCCAGAGGTACCCCCTCCCCACCGCCCAGCCTGCTGCGACGATGGGCGCAGTCGCTAGAATCTAGAGTTGTCGTTTCCCGGTGGCCCCCGCCAGCCCCCGGCCCCAGCCTGGGAGGAGGGGGCCCCGGAGAGCTGCCCCCCCAGCCGCCGCCTGTCTCCACAGTACGGCAGGAAGAAGCGCAGATATCTGCCCTACAACCACCAGCACCTGTACTTCTTCCTCAGTGAGTCCCCATGTCCCCCCGAGGGCGGGGCACGGCCGGGG